CAAACTATATTGGGGCCACCTCAGGCTGGAGAGTACATTATATAAGAATGCTCAGTAACTAACCCGGTAAACCTTTAATTGACTAGATGTTTAAGACAAGTGCTAATTTGACATATGACTTTCCACGTTTAAACTATTCCCATTCTGCTTTGCAGGTATGCTCTTTTATCGCTTATCCTAAGCTGGCAGATTTTGTCCCGTACTTTGGATAATGTCTCGCTGGGATAAGAAGGCTGGAAAATCCCCAGCGATAATAGTGAAAGTCTTATTAACCCTTAAGGGCCAGTTCTAATTAAAGCACTAACCTAAATTAGGCTTATTATGCTTCCTTAAAGTATCTTTATATAGCTAAATTACATTCTAGAACTCTAGCTCCTTACCCTATATTCTATCTAAACTTATGCTAATACGTAAGTCTAGTGTACTAACCTAGATAGTATCGATCTAGTCCCCTACCGAGGTAAGGATAGCGTCGAGGTTCTTAACTCTAAGTTCTAACTTACACTGTGTAGTCTGGGTTTCGATTCCCTTTGAGCCACTTTTGGTTGATTTTGCACTCTACCGTCCAAGCCTCAAGGTGCCGTAGAGGATGGAAACAAAAACAGATCGATGTCCTGTTAAGTAATTAACCACGCACAATCTCCACGTCGCAGTGCTCTCACATCGTATCTTAGGCCTTTTTCATTTCTATCCTCGTGAGGTGAGATAAAACTGCCAATCCTTACTCCCATGAAAAGATATAGTTGAAGAGCTAGCGTTATAACAGCCTTAAGCAATCCGGGCATAAACCGGCGATGATCTACTCGCCATATAGAAGATAACACTCGGAGAAAATCCTTCCTAGTCAAGCCGTGGGCTGGATCCTCGATATTCTTAATTGTTCCTTCGTTTTCTATCAATATTCTCTTTACCCACTGTACCTAAGTTAGTTAAGCTTCTATTCCGGAACACAGAAAGTAAAATCTATGTAGGAGCTTATACTAGTTATCTCTTTCCGGTCTTCTAATATAATTTTAATTTATATTTTCTTTTCAAATCTACTAAATAGCCTCTCCGCACAATTGAGAACCGATATTATCACGAGCCGTCCATTTTTACTTTTTTTCCCTCGCGCCGAATGACTGTACTACCGGAGGAATTCTTTAATAAG